TCGCTGCTTGTGTTTGTGGGGGGGGGAGGGGGGTGGTGATACGTCCCTCCCCCCCTGGGAACAGGAGGGGGGGGGTGGCAGTGACCCTCCTGAGGCTTTCGCATCGGACACCAGGTTACGGAGAACTATCAATGCCGACACTCGCAGATGCCGAGGTGGCTTTGTCGCGAGCCATGCTTGTCAGCTCCGCTTTGAGATCCTCCGTGCCAAGACGTCGCTGGCTTTCTTCCATTCACCGGCAACAAGGATTTACAGCCGAAGCTCCTGAACTTGGGCCTCCGAAGCGCGCAGTGCCTTCTGACATGCCTGAATCTCCGATGACTTGTCAGCCACCTGGCAGGAGCCAGCACCCCCACACCCACGTGCAAGGAGTGCGGGACCTGCTGCCGTGCCATCTCGTTCAAGCTGGCTAGGGACTGGTTGTGCAAGTCCTTGCGGACGCAAGCACTTTCCAGAGGCAGTACTGTCTGACACATCTCGTGCATCCTTAGAAGGCCTCCAACTGCATCCACCGTTGTTGCAAACGATCTAAGGCTTCCTCACCCAGCGAGGGCCTGAAGCAGCAATGCACGGCAAATATCCCCGAAAAATCTGCTGAAACAGCCAGGGGCAGCTCCCTCACTGCATGTGCTGTGCAGTGCCTCTTGAGCAAGTCCGCAACAACTTCGTCGGAAGGAAAGACGAGCGTCAAGAACTGCTGGAAGACCTCCGAGAGCACTGCGAGAGTCGCGCAGCGAGAGTCGAGCTGCGAGAGTCAAGCTGCGACCCCGAAACTCAGCGCCGGCCTTTCGGTCCTCGCTGGCGGCCTCGGCTCCGCCTCGGACGTCACAAGCAAAGCACTTCCTGAAGCGACGTCGTCCTCGCGCTGTGCGGTCGTTTCTTGTCCGTTTCAGATTTCAAGACATCGCTGGCTTAATCCTTTTTGGTGGCCTTTGTGGAAGCTGATTAGCTCAGTGCCACCCGAGTTTTGCAATCGCTATCAATCGCTCAAGTTCCCTTGACCGCCTTGCGACATTTCCGCTGTCCCCTACGGGGCAGCAAGCGCAGGACTCCCTGGACTCTGCACTCTGCATCTGCACTGGCACTAGAAAATCCTGGGAAGCGAGCGCCTCCACACTGCCAGCTGTCGAAGAAGCTCATTCCTTGGTTCTCTGACGCTTCAGCTCGAGATTCCTCGAGTAGACACGTCTCTTCAACTTTCTGCCGCCTGGCAGCAGATCCGTTGGCGCTTCTTGTGCAGCTGCTTCTTCGAAAGCTCCATCCTCGGGTCAATCTACTCGCATGGACGCATGATATAAGAACTGTGAGCAACCCATGACAAGTCTTGCCCCATCTCCAAATGCTCGGATGCGCGCACATTCGGGAAGGAGCTCGTGACAGAACCGCTGGAAGGATTGACGATCCTGAGACAACCGATGCTGATATTGATTAAGCTAAATCCGTGGGAGGGAGGTGCAATCGCAGACTTTGGACTTAAAGGCGGGTTGTGAATCCGACAGATACCATCCCGGGAATGGAAGCAACGACAAAGCGAATAAGGTTGTGCACAATCTGCTGCGTTCCTCCATGAGGATCTTGTTGAAGCGGACAACCTCTCCCAGCGTGGCCGTTGCAGCCCGCAGGTTTTGGCTCCGAGGGTTCTGCATTTCGGGGCTGGGACGGGCGAGGTGTGGATATGAAACCATACAAAAACAAAAGGCATTTTGACGACGGCCCGGGGCCGAGCAAATGATTGTAGATGCAGTTGCAAGAGCACCGACTTCCAACTGGTACTGGGACGGCATCGAGCATGGGCCGGAGGTACTTTGACATCATCCGATGAGTTGTGGATACGTCTTAGTACGGATTGTTCTCGTGAAAGGTGGAACCCTCGACAGCAACAGCAAGAAACTAAGTCTTGTGACTACTTCCGGTCTCCGCTTCACTCGGCATTCCCCCGCATCTCCTTGCCTTGACATACCTTTCTTCAAGTTTCTCAAGCTTGCCCTGCTGTGTCTTCACTTCTTTGTCCTGCGGGAGCACACGAAACATGCGCCGACTGGACTTGCAGAGGAACAGGTCAAGCCAACAGAAGCTATGGTGGGGAGCGGCTGGGCCGGGAATACATGCAGCACGATCTGGATAGCAAGTAAGCAGCTCGGGGTCATGGCGTGCGGCAGCAGTCCTTCCGTCGAAGAAGGGCTACCAAGGTGTCCTCGGTCTTCTCTGTCTCCCTTTCTCTTTCGCAGTGCTTTTTGCGAACCCCCTTTCTTTCTCTCTTTCCGTCTGCAGGACTCGGGGACAGGCTCCCCTCTTCCCTAAAACCCTAGTTTGGAGGCCGTTGCCTACCCGGCCACGAGAAAGTGAAGCTTGGTGACAACACAACCGTCAGCAAAGGAAAACATTCTAAAGGAGGCCCAAAAGTCCCCCCCAACTTCAGCTACCTGAGCTGCTGGCACCTTCACTTAACTTCCAAAATCAGACAACATGGGATAAAGAAGAGTACCGTTCCCTCTGCCCCATTTCTGCCTGGGCTGAGCTCTTGCGAATCCTTTCGTTTGCCAGGGCTGTGATGCGGAGTTGCCTCCCCACTGCGTGCGTGTGCCCCCCCGCCTGTTGCGGGGTCCATGAGGTTACATGCAGATCGCACTCAAAGGCACTGGACCTTCGCATCAGCTGATAATCGGAGGACGGAACACCCATGTTCAACTAAAGGTTACACAAGAGTTTGCAGTGGCTGGTGCTTCCCTCTCTCTCTCTTTCTTTCGTTCTTTCTGCAGGTATGGGGAAGGGGTTGCTCCGCCCCTCGCGCATCAGCGCACCCCCTTATTAGGCGTGGAGAGAGCTGAAGCGAAGCAGCCAGGAGGAGAACGTCAGCGAAACAATACAAGTAGAACAAAGTAGCATCATACTAAATTGTCCTCCCCCTTTGTTCCGCTCGGAGCTACTGGTGCGCCCCCTTGGGGCTCATAACCACTACTAGATCCTGGAGAACCATGGTTCGCGAACAACACTTCACGAGGTCATCATACAAGGTCTAGTCTGAAACACCAATTTCTCCATTTGCCCCCCTTTTTCTGCAGGTCATGCCCCCGGTTGTCTACTCCACCACTGGCCTAAGTGTCTACGGGCCTCAGGGTCCAGTCAGCAACAACACCACATGAGGAATTGCTACAAGATCTAGTCAAGTCTACACTCTGCTGGTCTCCGAGTTGGGCCCCTACCTAAGGCGATTGCCCCTTGGTGGTACCTACTCTCTTGAAGCCTGTGCTGTCGCTCCCAACAAGTACTTGGAATGTGACGAAGCGTTCAACCCTTTTCTAGGAAAGCACAATCGCCCCTCAACACAACTCCCTAAACGGTACGGTCCACCGATCTGCTACGTCTTAAGTCTACGGAAGTAGAGGGCATCAGGTAGGCCAGGTAAGCTCTCAGGTCCGGCGTTTGGCTGGATGTAGGCCCCTCTTCTGCTCCTTCCACCTCCCCGTCCTCCGGCTCTTCTACAGGAGCTCTGCCTCTGCTGCCTTGATTAGTTCCAGCTCCTCCTGCAGCTTGCGTTCCTCATCTCCCGGGTCCGAGGACTCCTGTCTGCATTCCCCCTTTGTTGGTTTGCTGGCAGTTTGCCCGCGAGGGGGTCGTGAGTCTCGCATTTGAGCTGTGGCTTTTATTCGTGTTTGTGAAAATGGAAATAACAAAATCCTTCCGCAAGACCCTTCCGCATGCTTCCGCGCGCGAGGGTTTCGCTTCCGCGCGCCTCAGCTTTCATGTCGCTTCCGCGGATCCCTTCCGCAACGGTTGTTTCGCAGAGTTTGCAGGGCTTGCTTCCGCAAGTGCGGGCTGGAGTCTTGAGGAGGCTGTTTGTTTAGGCAGACCTATCGTGTAGCTTCAACTTTGCTTCAGCCACCAACAAAGGCTGCAAGCTTACATGAAGCACGTGAAGACAGAAGCAAATCTGAAGAGGCTTATAGGTTGCATTCGGCTTCTTCGGCTCTTAAACTCTTGTGGGGTAGGGCGCTGGAACGAAACCATCGCGATGACTGCAACTTTCGTATGACTGGGCTTGGGATCAACTTCCAGGGGTCTACCTTACGCAGGGCTTCCGCGGACCTTCCGCGGAGCTTCCGCGCACGTCCCCTAATACCCTGTATTTTTTAGAGCCGGTGGTGATCATCATGACCATGATAAAGCTGAACTGCTATTCCTGTTCGCCACATGACTTTACTCGTGAACACGCAAATGGACATGACAAGAACCTGATAACAAGAAGCCTGGTGGTGGTGTTGACAAGGAACATGCTTCGGACAAGGATGGGTGACTCTAAATCTTGCTGGCATCTCTCAGAATTTAAGGCGATATCTTCGCCCAGTATGCATCGAAGAGCACAGATACAGCCATTAAGATGCAGGTGTATGGTCATACACAAGTTCTTGCTGGCGATGTGGGGACTTCGACTTCGGGGCTTGTGGATCTAGGCTTTTGAGATGACTTTGGGTTTAAGGTTTGCAGTTACATTCAAAGCCAAACGTATGATATCTGCGGCATGACATATCTTAAGACGGAGCTTCTGCGGGACCTTCCGCGGAGCGATTGCTTCCGCAAAGCTTCCGCGTGCTTCCGCGCACACAGTCCCGTGCATTTTTTTCGGCGACAACGATTGATATTTCCGCGATTACTTTTCATCAAGGAAGCGTACAAAACCGCGGCTCATTTGGCAAACTCCACCAAGGCCGGGCTTTCCTCTCAGAGATCACATCAAAACCAACAAGGGAAACAGCAAACCAAACCCGAAATAGCGATGAGCACGATACAGGCATGAGAAGTCTCGGTTACGGGGCTTTTCCCCTGTATTGTCTGGATGTGCTCTACTGTGGGCGGGCGATACATGTGCAGCAGTAGAACTCTTGGACAGTGAGTCTTGCTTGCTTGCACGGCCTTTGGGTCAAGGGTTGCCCCTCGTACCCCTGCGCGCTAGCGCTACGCCTCTGTCCTGTTCGGTCTGTCGGTGTGAGTCTCTTGCTTGCTTGCTTGCACGCCGTTTGGAGAGTGGGGTTCCCCCCACCCCCCTGCGCTCACGCGCTACGGCCCTGTCTGTCGTCCAGTGGTCGGCGGGTGTGAGTCTCTCTCTCTCTCTCTCCCGGGCATGTGGGTCGGTCAAGACCCCCCAACTTAAAGCCCACCCGCAAATGTGAGTCTCTCTCTCTCTCTCTCTCTCTCTCTCTCTCCTCCGCTTGTCACAGCCCCCGGGAGCGCTACCCAACGACTAAAGTCACCTCTCGCTCTCTCGCACTCGACCCGGCTAGAGGCGAATCCTCTCTCCTTTTCACTTCACTTCACTTCACTCCGGGGTCCAGGGAGCTGGTAAGGCTCCCCGCGCGGAGAGGTGCGCCCCTGTTTGTGAGGCCTTGTGGGGGAGAGTGAATGCCCACTCTTTTTTTTTCTCTCTCTCTCTCTCTCTCTCTCTCTCTCTCTCTTCTTCAACACAGACAAAGGGAAAGCGGAAAGCCCCCCCTCGCGCGCGTACGCGCCCTGTCAGTCTCGGTCTCAGGTACAGCTACTACAACAGATGCGGGCCTCTCTCTCTCTCTCTCTCTCTTTCTCCTTCTTCTCTACCAATGCTACCAACCATCTGCCGCTCCCTAATACATGCAGCTGAGCTTCTCGTGGAACGTTTTCAACCGCCTCGCCAAGAAGCAAACAGAGCATTTTCTGCAGCATCTTCTGCTGATGTGGGACAACAGCTTCAGTGCAGGCTTAAGTCGAGCAGGAGTACGCCACAAGCCTACAGGTTAAATTCTAAAACCAGAAAGATTGCACTATGCTGGGCACTTGCAAATCTCTGGCCTGTAGATCCAGATCCAGGCCGGAAGTGGCTTTCTCGGCCGCCATGACGGTGACGGTGCCATGCGCCAGGATGGAGACTTGGAAAACTCCCCGGGCAGCCGACTGGTCAAGCTCTGGTTATTTACGCTGCGCCGACTCGATGGCTAGGGGGGGGGTTTGTTCAGTGCTGGAGTGGGCTTAAGTGACTCGCAAGAAGCCCGACCACCTCGCCCACCACCGGAGAAGACAGTTCTTCGCTCCGAAGTACATCAACTACTGAGTCGATCTAGTGTGCTGTCTTGGGTCCGTCTGCTGTTTACCTTGCGTGGGAGTGGCATCGGCACTTTTTGCTGCACATCTTGAACTAGAGCCATGAAGGAACTGCGGCCGCAACACGGAATGACTGCCTCTCCCAGAATTCGGGATCTACCCTCTCGCCATCGTGAGTGTGCAAGGTTCTGACTCGCATGGGCCACCCGCTTGATGGCCGCCGCGAAACGCCCAGGAGGAAATCATCCTGCGTGAGGGCTTTGCGAGTTACCGCAGACAGCACGCAGAGCGAACATCCTCCTCGGAAAGCAGGAAGGCCCTGCCAAACCTTGTACCGATTTCCCAAACTCTGGCGACTCAGAGTCAAGCTGAGAGCTGAGAGTGAGGCGAGGAGCTGCCTCCGCCCGGTTGCGAAGCAGCTGTGGGGATCCTGCCTTGAGTGCCGGGGACTCCTAACTGTCGTGAAGAGTTCAAGGTCCAAGACGCCTGGAGCTCAGTGCACTTCACTACGGCGTCTGATGTCATGTTCTGAGCTGTCTGAGGCAGTCGAACATGGACATAGTCACGGCTGCTTGTGACGCGACTGGGGATCTCCTGTTGGGGCTGCCTTTCATTGATATTTCCAAGTATTTCCTCAAGTCCCCGCCGCTTCCTGGAAAGGAGGTTCAAACATTGAGACGGATGGAGAGGACAAAGGGGAAGGGAGATAGTGAGGGAGAAAGGAGGCAGTGCAAGAAGTGCAACTCAAAATCAAGCCAAAACGGCTTGAACTTCTCTTCAAAGCAGTCGGGTGGGCCAAAAGGCGGTCTGTTCAACTTGTGGCTGGAGACGGCGCCGTTGAAGGACACCAAGTAGGAATAGAGCACCCTGGGCGACAACTTGCTGAACTCCGAAAACAGAACATTGACCGAGTTCTCCGTGCTGGCAGTGCAAAGAGATGCCTCATGTCACTCAAGGCCAGGTTGGTGTAGACCAAGTGCGCATTGTAGAGCAGCGCAGCATGTCGAATTGACGGGAAGTGCTCCTGGATCTTGTCCTCCAGCAGCGAGTGTTAGCCCAGCAAGCTCGCCTCGATCTAGTTTGCTTGCACTTCAGAGTTAGGACACAAAGCAGAACCCAGTCCAGGAAGCAGTGGATTGAGACGCAGGTGTTCCGTTCCACTGGGCCTGGCAGACAGTCGTGATCATTCGTGACAACCAGTCGTGACTTGGCGCTGTGTGGCCCCGTATGGCCCAGCTGGGCTGAGTCTGCACCGTTCGGAAACACCAGCAAGTCAAGTGCGAGCCGCTGGCCATAATGGAAACCATCCAGCTCCTGGAAAATGCCGAAGTCACTGGCATCCTGGCAACCCATCACCGCGATAAGTATACGTGGCTGCAGACATTGGCTTTATGTGAGACCCAGGGGTCATTTGTCGATCTGAGGGCAGTGCCACAGTCTCCAGAAAAGCTGGCACGAAGTCCTGGCAGCAAGTACTCCAAGAAGCAGTCGCTCTTTCTCCTCGCCCGGCCGACATTTATAGCCTATGTACTGTTGGTGAGTCGATTTGATCCCTGCCGAGCGACGCGAATCAAGATTCGCTTTGGACACCTCGGATCCTCCCTACATGTGGCAGGCAGTAAACCAGGTCCTGTCCTGGTATTAGAGACGCATATTCCCGTGACATTGCTGGAGAGCTTTTGAAACGAGCTGCTCCGAGATGCTCTCTGCAGCGGGGCCCCAGCCTCGAGCAGATCGAAAAGCTTGTGCATGGACTGCGCCTGGCCAAAGCTCAGCCAACCCCAAACCTCGAATTCTTCTTCTAACTTCCACATTTCCGCAAGTTCTTGCAGCACAGCCAACAGCAAGGCACCGCAGCTTGGAGGGTAACCTACGGCTGCAAGTGAAAGCCGGTTCTTGGCTTGTGTCAGCTCATTTCGGGTCCAATACCTCAGGACAAGGGTCAGGCTGTATGCCATACCGCGAGGCACCGCGTACGATCGCGGAAACATCGACAGGGTTTGCGTTAATCTTGCACCCAACTCCATGTAACCGCAGCTGCCTGGCCGTTCCCTGAACGGAGAGGGCGAGCCCAGGTCTTAAATAAAGAGTCTGCGTGATGCAGAGGAGGAGTCGGGTGGAATGCCAGAAGCAGCCTTTTTCGGGAAATGGACCGAGCTTCACCGTACCACGATATTGATGGAGACAACTTCGCTTGCCGCACCACCAAGGAAGCCATCTTGACAGGCGGCTCTATCTGCAACAAGATATAGTGCCCACTGTCGTACGATTGTTTAAGGCGAGTTACAGCTTCGAACACGGCCTTTGAGAAATACATGCAAGCGCTCCTTGGCATTTGGATGCGCTTTGCAGCCTACGAAACTTTCATGTCATGTATCTGCACTCGCGTCCGTGTTCCAAGCACAGATTACCGAACTATAGCCTGTTAAGAACCAGCTATGTGCATCCTGCGAGTTCCGCACAGCACAGAGCGATTGGGTTATCCGTCTGGGCCTGCGGGCCAATAAACCACATCAACCCACATCATGTCCTGAACCTCATGTAACCACAACAAGACCAGTCTTGCTCGCATGCTTCCCCCCTCTACAGGGCTTACGACGTGAACTGCCGTAAAGTTTGTGCAAAACTGAAGATTCAGTGGCGCACCTTGACGAATGCTTGAACTTCTCCATGCCTTAAGAAGCATAGGTTCGACACATTCAAAGAAGCTCAACAGGTAAATACTGTAGCGTCGTCGAGCTCTTCAGCAAACCACGCCCACTTGAGGTCGAGGCAAGAGACGGAAGACGTTGTAGCAGTTTTGTAGAATGGCCTGCATACCGCCAGGTCACTATGGCTCGACATGCCGCACGCCGCTAGACCTTTGCGATCACGCTTACAAAGCGCTAGACACTAAGCACCTCTAGCCATGGCCAATGCGGTGTGAGGGCTGCCTCCTTCGGCTAACGGCTGGAGCTCGTAGTTTGGTCAGGCAAGCTTTTTTTCAAGATGTTCTGAGCCTGGTTCTCAGGTCTGGAGCCTTTTGCCCATCAAGCTTACTCCGGGTTGGCTGATGCCGAAACGGCATGGAGACCGCTGTCAACTGGCCAAATACATGTGAGGCCAGCTCTGCAACATGATAACGGGAGGCTGTAGCACAGCCATCATTCCCAAATGTCGGACTTCTTGTGCCCTGGAGGTTCAGTTGCTGCCTTTGGCACCTGCACTTGTAATCACCTGTAAAGGATACAAAGGTGGATGAAGTCAAGTATCAGGGTGCGGCACCACCAAAGCGCAATTCTGCCAGTGGCCTTCGGCGACCCAGCAGAACAACAGAGCAGAGAGGCCCCTTCAAGGCCGGAGTTGGAGCTCTGACTGCGATTGCCGTGTAGCGAAAGCAAGCCCCATGCCTAAAGTGGCGGGATGCAGTGGTGTGACTTCCGGCATTGGTCCGAATTCAAGCCCCGCGACCTAGATAAAATGGACAACGAAGCGAAAGGGCACCGCAACTGTCGGCTTGGGAGCCTCGGTGAGAGGGACCATGTTGCTTCAAAGGGAAGTGAAGGGTAACATCGCTGCCCGTTTCTTCTAGAGCTTCGGCAACTCACAGTCTCAGTGACAGTGGCGCAGGAGAAGACATTGCACGAACGTGGTGGACGAAACAGCCCGAACGGCAGCAGTGTGTAGCCATCCAGCACCCGACAGTCCAACTTATGCACACAGCTGAGAACCGATGTCTACTGCAACCACAATATTGGTCGCAGCATCATGAAGAGTATCATCCTGTTTGCACGTGTTGGTTTTCATGCTGGCTGAGAGTACAAGAGGTAGAGCTCCGATCCTACAGCCGCAGCCCTAGTTAGAGTGTCGGCTATGACTTGACAGCGTGGCTGCTGGATGCTGATGCCTTAAGAAGTGCATGTTCGCACTCTGCCGCCCTGCTGTCTTTTTGATGATTACAGGCTGCGTGCCCATAATGAAAGTCCGCGCGAAATTTAGCATTTGGGACCAATCTCTTCGCCCTGCATTCATCCGGTTTTACTACTCTTCAGTCACGGCAGAGTGCACAGAGGAACAATCCTCGATTAGATCAAAAGCTGGATGCACTGTATCACTGCACCTGCACGTGCAGTCTGTTAGCACAGCTCCTTTCATCCCATAATGCAGAGAGGCTTCTCAATGGACGGAGGAGACACAGACAGAGACACATCGTTTGCCTAGTATTCTTGCTGCAGAATCCACTCCAGGCTCCCTGCATGACTTGCAGCTGCAACGAATGTATGGTATAAATGTGGGAAGGCATCAACGCGCAGCAGTAGTATCCCCGGTCTCAAGCCGCCAGTGTCATCCTGTCAGAGTGTCCATCAAAGCTGTCACAGGAGTCGATCTGCTCATGAACTGATGAGGGGTTGACGGTATGTTCACTTTGAACGTGCTCGACAAAACAACAACAGCTGGGCCTCGGCAGACCGCCGAGACTGCAAAGCTGCTCGAGGAAAGCAGAAGGAGCTGACACTTTTCTTTTCTTGGCTTTGTGGCCACAACAGTGACAGCTGATAGCTTAGAAGCCTACGTTGCCTGCGTGGCGAGTTGGCGTACTTCGCAAGCAGCGCCAGTAGGATCAAATCCTCAGCCGATCTCACAGCTTCACTGCAGAGGGCTGCAACACTGCGATCCTTGAGCCAAAACCTTAAGGCCTTGGGGTCCATCCAGTAGGGCTGCATCCAGTCCAGGGGATCTTCCGACAAGTGCCTCTTCTTGTAGGAAGTTGGTCTGGTCAGATCGCACCATGCTGCCCCTATCGTCCTGTTCTACGCATGCCTTTGCAGATTGAGAAGAGACGGTCGGTGATGTGTTGTCGTGCTTCTATGTATGCATGGTGTCTTTTTGCTGCAGAAACACTTGGAGTACAAGCACAAATGATCAGTTGTGGTGTGGTTTCTATGAACCCTGTTGTGGGCCTCCTCCAAACTCTAACGCTTCGGGTATTTCTGCAAACCCAAAGAGACACGGCTTGTGAAGGCCAAGGCAATCCCCCTGCGTCAACCAAAGAACCTTGCTATGCATCTGGGCAGAGCTGGCCAACACAACCCATTTTGCAAGGCGTTCCTGGACGGCACGAGGATCATTCTACCAGTTCATGCCAGGGTGCATCATGCATGCTTCACCAGCTGCAGCTGCTCTCCATCCTTTCGCAAGAGTCTGCATGTAGGATCTCGAGATGCTCAACGAGTTGCAAGGCTTCCAGTATGGCTAAACCATCCAGCCTTTCCTCTGCAAGCTGTGACGGTTAGTGAACAATTTGCACTGCCCAAGATTCCGGTGCAGTGGCTGGGTGGTCACTGCTGGTGGAGCCTCTGGTGTCTCTGGCGTGGCTACTGTTGTGGATGGGGCATTCGAACACAGCGATTAGAGTCGTGCTGGAAAAGAGGAACTGCCAATATCTGCCAATCTCTTGCCCTTAGACTGACATCTGAAGATTTCAGGGCTGTTATCAGTGATCGCCTTCGTCGGCTGGCAGCAAGGACCCCAAGTCGTTTCTCAGCCCTGACATACTTAAAGTACGTCGCCGCATTCGGAGCCACCTTCGGCCTCGACCTGTGAGGCATTGCGGATGGCACTATGAGCCCTGGCCCATCCCGGCCCAGGTACACAACGGCGCAGGTCTGAATGTAGAGAACTTGTCTTGAGTGTCTGTTTCACAGAACTCCACCAAGGGATTCACACGCCGATCTCCATGAAGTGCACGGCATCGCAGAACGTGAAACCCAATCCGAGACCGTTCATTGTCCATGGGATGGCCGTCTGCAAGATGAATACCGATTCCAACACATACCCTCCCTTCCGTCTCTGGTCCAACTCGCGCCCCTATCGCTGCAATCAGAAGGTCAGCGGCGAACTCAACAGGAATGCTGCAATTTCAGCCCTTCCAGGGGTTGTGGGGTCTGCTGAAGCAGTGAGCACGCGCAGAGCATAACTCGAGTTCACAGTCCTCCGTCACCAGCTTTCCCTCTTTCAGGCCTGGGCAGTCGCAACAGCACGCTGTTTGCCACGAGGAAAGCCCGGTCGCTGGGGGAAGGGCGGTAGACGCCGCCATCATGGAGTGCAACTTCAAAACAAAGCTCTCCCAAAGATCGACCCTGGCACTTTGGACTTGGCGAAAGCATGTGTGCGATTCGAAGCAACTTTGACCTGGAGAGCCCCATCCAGGCATATGTGCTTCCAAGGTGCCATTTTCTCGTACCTCAAGCGTCCGAACTGTTAGCAAACCGAAGCTGGCACTCAGGTACCCCTGCTTGCAGCAGAGAAGCATCTGGTTCTGCACTCGGTCGATGAGCTCTCCGGTCAGCTTCACTGCTTCAGCAAAGCCGCTCCTCCGAAGGTAAGAACGACGATGCTGCCAGTGGGTTGTTTTGCCGCACTCTTTGCTTAGGCGACGTGCTGCAGGCCGTTCTGGCCCTTTCTGTGTGAGACAAAACACAAAGGCTAAGGTGCAGAAAACCACACCCAGCTTAAAGGACTGCCACACTCACAACATGCTTATGCCATCATGCTCGTTGTCTCTGTCCAAGGCTCCAGTCGGAGCGATTCGAGGAGACCGTGACCATGAGACCAGCTGGCGCCTCCATGCCTGTCTGAGACTCCTTACCAAAGCAGCACAACTCGCAGATACGGCAGACATGCAAATGCCGCAGACTTTGCATATCTGTCCGAGCTGGACCTGGATCGTCTGTTCAGCAATGGTTGATAGCGATTGAAGACGAAGCAGAGGCATGGTGGCCGGGCTCAGGCTCACGAAGTCAAACACCAGTGCATGCGTAGGCCCATGGTATAGCTAGTTGCTACAGAAGCACTTATCCAACAAGATGCCGTGGCTTCGCCTAGAACAACCGAGTTTGGGCAGGCATCCATGTGTCCACTTCCTCGTCCTCGAACACGTATTTTCGCACCGGTCTTGTCAAAGATTGTCCTTCAGAACTACGAGCATTTAGCATCTGCGAAGCTTTAGATGGAACTCAGCAGGGACGCGTCCTGGTGTTAATTCCTCTCTTGCCAATCATTGCAGGTACCACCTTGCGGTGCGACTGCGAACTTCGGCTTGGCACCAACTCGCTCGTACAGAAGACTAGTGCATTGTAAATCACAGCCTGGGGCTCCAGCCGCATACTGGGCGTAAACCTCCACAAAGGGGGGGGGGTCTGCAACAACTGCAGGTGGGCTCTTCAGATCAATCAGTGGTTATGTTCATAAGCTCTACTGCCTGCAGGAGATGGAAGCTGCACCAGTAACGACTGGAGTCCGATGCGGCTTCGAGCTTTCCTCTCCGAGAGCGACGGGCTGAAGCCTGGACAGTCCAACACGCGACAGGTCGACAGTACATCGCCCCAAAAACAATTCATGACCCAACATCTCCGGAATCTGCTGGCAAACGGGCCTTCTGGGCTACTTCGGGGAGCGCGACCTCCTTCCGTCCCAGCAATGTTGTCTCGATTCAAGTCTCAAGTCTAGTGTGCGCTGGCTCGAGGGCATTGAGCAGATTCACGAACGTCGTGATTCCGTGGGCAGGGGGTAAAGTCGGTGTTTAAAGAGCATGGCAAACAGAAGCTACGAAGTCCTTGCCAGGTGTGGACGGCGAATACATGTCATGGGTGCCCTCGGATGCAACCTGCATGGAGGGTGTTTCTACTAGAAACATCTGAACTTCTCCGGCTAAGTCTGTGCCAAAATGAAGCCCCTCTGAACGAAGCCCCTCTGTACAAGCTCTTGAATAGAAGATCATGGCCCAGGGCTGCTACTTACCAGGACTAGGATCTTTCTCAACTGCCTGAGTTGGCGGAGGAATTCCAGGAGGTGGAGATGGTCTCCACTCGGCCCCCTGATGCAACAGTGCTTGACCAAGATCGACGGCGCGTGCAACAAAAGTACAGTCGTAGTCCCAGGTTGTATCTTACGGGTGGTCCCCATCCGCGAATAGCCTGCGTTTTGGCGGGGCTTGGCTAGAGCTATTCGCCAATCAGGGTGCTTCAGGCCCGGCAAAACTCGACTGAATGTAACATGCGGCAGCACAAACATTAGGTCATTGTATCTTCATGTTTGTTTTTTTGCATTTGCGGCCAATTTTTGTCACAAATGCACCAGCAAGACACCCATCAGTAGCTCTATCTGTGCGCTGAATTAAAAGACTTTAGACCTGCAGCCAGCGTCGACAGTCTTATCGAAATATCACAGCACGTCCACCAAAAGACAACATCGCGACTGCGGAGTTGCGTTCGGAGTCTCCCTCTCGACAAACTTGCCTGCTCGAGAGGTGTAGTCAGCAGCCCGCCCTTCATGGCCTGAAGCAGCGAATTCAATTCCTTCGAGCAGAATGCCACACCTGGAAGCGCTGCAAGGCTGCTGCAGGGGCCATTTCGACTAAATCGCCATGTCGTGTCTGCCTGCGCCGCGGTCGCTCCAGGTGCGTTGAAGAACATTGCCTTCCCAGTGTCGGCTGACACACTGACACGGCGGTGCAAACTCACAATGGATTGCAGAAGTAGTCCCAGAGCTCCACCTGTTGAGATTATCGCCACAACCGCTACATAGCCGCCACATCCCCAAAACGAACTCATTGGCACATATTGGAACTGGTCTCGTTAGTCCGCACTCCCAAAACCATCTGGATGAACGACTGCAGCAAGCCGAAACCCAACCGCGTGACCGGCCATGCAGGTGGTCGTACCGTGCAGCTGCTGCTTATTTTCAACTCGGCTCTTCGTTCAACAATGCGAAACGGCCTCTACTTCGGACCACGGAAGTTCCAATCAACTTTCATGCAAAGTGCATGAAAACATCATGTTTTCGCAAGCGTTTCGGAATGACAGCAGAAATACTATTCTGAAAACACAAGCACGGTCTGCGAACATTCCCGCAAAGGCAGCCTGTTGGGGTAAGCTCCTGGCATCCCGCTGCGCAGTGGCGAGCTGGGCCTCGCACTCAGCTGGCAGACATGGGTTTTCAGTCACCCGAGCACAACGCCTGCACATTGGAGCTTGGGCTGCATGATTCGAAACTCGATGTGTTGTCAGGAATTGTTGTCACCCTCGTGCCTCAAGAGCAGCTTGGCGCGAACAGGTGTCACAGGCTGAAACGAAGCTATTTCAACAGAAGGTGAGAGGGGCCACAGGGCATAGCAAAGCCGTATCATACATTTTGCACAGACTCGTGTGCCAGTGTCTTGTCTGTTGTCGACACATCTATTTGATGGGAACAAATGTCAGAACGGCCTGTGCGAGCGCGCCTGGGTATCCCAAGACCTGGCCAGATCAAAGGACATCAACGAGAAAGCGCTGGACTCCGGCATTTTCGATGCTAAAGCTTCACTTCACATCCGACGTATCTTCTGACCTGCCGTAACTCAAAGGTTGGCTGGAGAAAGTGGACCCGGGTGGTCATTTGCGATTGTGAAATACGGTGAAATATGGAGATTGTCGTTGTGTGCAACGCATACTACGTATGGGGTGGCCCCCCACGAAAGCGATCTAAATCGCATGTGGCATGGACCATTTCTTACTGTTCGGCTGGCTGATTTTCGCAAGGCAATCACCCAGATTCTTAGCGATCATCCTAGCGGCCGCTGCCCGAATGCACAGCACTGTGCAAAAGCTGCTCAGGACATAATGTACGGAGCACCCCGACTGACATTGATCCAAAACAGTACTTCCACACTCCCCACGCGACTAACTGCTTTTGTCGTATGGTATAAGCGCTGTATCACGATGCCAAACTGTGAGAAACTACATCATTCATTTTATGATGGAGGTTTCCCTTTCTTGTCAAGTTTCATGAGCCCGTTATTCCAGCTTTGGCTGTTGACCTTCCTGTTTGCTGCGTCCATCTCGTTGCCGTTTTTTGTGCACGTGTTCGTCCAGCTTTTGATCAAACCTGCAAACAGCTCGCAGTATGGAAGGATGGGTGCTGCTTTATCCTTGCGAGAGCAGTTTCCTTGCTCACACTTTGCCTTGCCGAGGACTTCACACACTCACCACATGCTGCACGAAGGGTCGTAAGGCTGCATCCAAGATGAAATTCCACCTCACTTACGACAACATTAACATTTGGCTTCAAGTGGCACATCGTCAACACTTGCGTCGAACTCGCGACTCCCGAGCAGACACAGTTTGCTGCTTACTTGTTGTTGTTCGCAGCCATCTCGTATTGCCATCGACACTACAATTTGAAAAACACATACTATAATATGGTGCCTTCTTTTAGAAGACTCGAAGGAAATATTGAAACGATTGCTTTGTTCGACATTCTGCTTCGCTTGCAACAAATAGCAAGAGCCAAAGGTATGACAGTGTCTCTTCGATTCGTGTTGGAACTTTACTGTCAACAGTACTCTGCAGCTGTACCACTGCCTCACGCTCTCTAGCACGGATCAGCTGGCTTCGGCTCGGAGGGCCCAGGGGACGAAGATCAGAAAGGACAAAGTTTTAGGGTTTATGGAGCTCAGGAGGGTTCAGGGCTTTGGGCTTTAAAGCTTGGGGTTCAGGCTTTCCGAGTTGAGTCGGGGGCTCGGGTCTTAGGGCAAAAAGTTCAGGGGTTTGGGATTCAAGGCTCCGGGTTTTCGGGTTGGGGTGCAGGTTGCAGGGTCTAAGTCCTTAGGGCCTCAGGGTTCACGCTAAAGTCTCTAAAGGGTTTAGTGTTTTGAGGTTTAATGTTTTGGACTGTTCGATTTTCCAGGCTTTGGGGCTTTGGGCTTAGATGGTCGGGCTTTAGGGCTCTTACCCGCATCTCCTTTCTTCCAGCCTTCCCCTTATCCGAAAAGAAGAGAAAGATGACAACCCGGAAATGGCAGAAGAGAAATGCTGCTTTCAGACGGTTCGGTCAGAATCACAAGACAAAGGGAGAAGGACAGAACAAGAAGGAGCAGAATTTCTCGTGTTTCTCGTGCTGCTTCTTGTGGGCTCTCATAACTCATAACTTGAAAGTTGTTGCATCGTTGCAGAGTGACCCTCCGCACTGCTGGCATCTCCCCACTTCCGGCAGGCGCACCTGCAGCGCCTGAAGCTGATTCTGACGCATCTGATGTTGAAGTATCTGCGGCAGAACCGCGAAGCACTTGTCGGCTTGTTCCAGCACGCACTCCCGTCTTCAGGCAAACAGCTTTTTCCTGCCAAGGCTTGTCGTGCACTCCTCGTGCCTCTTGCTGGAGCTGCAGGTGCTGCAAGCTCACCTGAGCCCAGCCGATCCTCTCTCAGCCTCCTTAATGCAGAAATGGAAATGCCCCCCGCCCCCCCCCCAACCACGAGGTCATCGAGTCATCGGGTCAGGCTTTCAAGCTGTGTCACACTCTGGGTCTCTGGGGTGGCGGGGCGATAAGAATCACAGGATAATGCAAACGTTTCCGTCATGAAACGACATGGATGCTAGAAGATGCCGCAAGGACAGCTGTGGATCCTGGCATCCTCGTCAAACGCAGGACTCCAGGTGGCTGCCTTGTATCAAACACCAAAGTGGTCGCACATGTACTGCAACAAAGCAAAACGATACGGCCGTCACTCCTGTCTTTGGCACCTCCTCTTCTGCAACCCCTTCTTGCAAGAGTTCCTGGTCAGAGCAGAAAGGGATCGTATTTGATGAGTGAGCTATAGTGAGCTGCTTTGGCTTCTCTGCCGGCCTCGGGTATGGCATCCCCCGGATTCTGTAGATATGCTGCAACGGCTTGCCTCATGAGCTGGTATTCTCAGAGTTAAGCAGTTGAGTGGACGATTGCAAAGTCCCTCCCCCTGAAAAGCGAGTTGCTCGATGCATCCTGCCAAGTCGTCATCGGGGTCGACCGCATCTTCGGAAGCCAACAAAGTATCTGTCGGCGCGTGCGATGGATGCACACTCAGACTCGTGTTGGGCCTGGGCTCACCGGAGTTACAGCTCGCAGCAGCTGACAGCATTTCCCGCCTCTTGTCGATGCAAAGGCCTCAGCACAGCGGGCATGAAAGCAGGAGAGCCATGAGATGCCATGACGCGGATGCCGGGCTACTAGTTACTCGACACATGAAGAAATCAGAACGCTTGCCAGGCGTTCTGACATGTTGTGATTTGGATGGAGAATGCAGGATAGTTGACTCTGCACCCGAGACACAGAGTTGTGCACAAGAACGGATCAAAATCAGAGTGGCTGAGCGAGGTGCTCCTCCTAGGCTGTATGACTGCGCATTTTGTGGCGATGGCCAAGCAGGCGACGAAGCCTCTCCAGGCATGCCCTCTTTGTGCATTAATTCTGCTTAGGTATGCTGCCGGCGACGAAAAGCAAGTTGATACGCAAGAACATGAATATGTTGTCCTTTCCTGCTCCTGCTGTATGTCCGCCATCAATTCGTGGAATACCCTGGCAAGAATCAGAAGACTCTGCAGAATTGCTCGAGCCCCATGGAAGGAAATAGCATGGACATAGCCATGACAGCGCATGTCCGGATCACGAACACACGACAGTGTGGTGCTCTGGCAGTGCCCTGGGTATCTCAGGGTAAATTTTGGCGCAGAACCCGCCTTGAGCAATGGCTGAAGTCTGCCATCGATTCGTAGAAACAGGTGAAAACTTGCAAAGATAGCACATGCTGCTGTCAGCGCCCGATTTGACACAATCGAGAGACTTTTGCGAGATCCTTCGATCACTTGCTAGTGTATGTGACCTCGGGCTTCGGTTGCTGACGACTGGCCTCTGAAGTCTGTCTGCGCACGCAAAGACGTTGACTGTATGGACACTCGGAGCGGAAGTTTTAGCGGCGGTCAATACTGTCGGCCACAAAAAAACATGAGCATACTATTCGTTTACGACACGGCACCGCAGAACTTTGCTCAAACTTCCGTTGATTCGAAAGGCAGAAGCCCTGAGCCAAACAAACGGCGCATCACGTCGAGTCGACCACCCGCGTAGTTGGAACACAGCATATCACAGAGGAACGTTCTTGGATGAAGGAGAGTGTCTAGTCGAGGATCCTTCGACTCTGCTGCTGCAACAACAACAACAACTGCTGCTGCTGCTACTACTACTACTACTACTACGACTACGACTACGACGACGACGACGACTACTACTACTACTCCTGCTGCTGCTGCTGCTACTCCACCGCGACTGCCACTACTACCACTACCACTTCGTCGTCGTTGACTATTACTAGGAGTGAGGCCGACTGGAGGGCGTTGCAAGCGGCCTGCAGTGTACTCTCGGGAAGGCCATCCTGGCATCGGCAAGGAGGGCAAGCCGTGACTGTCCCACAATCAATTTTTTGCAGCCACTCAACACCCACTGGTCCGCAGATTCGCGATGTCTGCCAACATCTCCACTGCGCCTCGTCAAACTTCTGCTCCCCACCAGAGCGCGTCTCTGCATTAACCTTGGTTGAGAGATTGAATGTAAAACTGCCTCAGTTCCAAAGGGCGGCACCTGCACCCCCTCCGCATCGCCTCAGCCTATGTCGCTTGTAACACGTGCGACTGAGTATGGGTGAAGAAAACAGACCATGCAGTGTCTGCCTGTCATGCACTGTGTTTTCTTCGTCGTGACCAAACCATATTCATATCTGTCTTTGCACTCAATCTTGTAAGTGGCTAAAGCACTTCGACCCCGAACCCAGCCAGTAACGCTGAATGCTGAGCTGTCACACCATGGCATGCCTCATTACCAGCACCATCCAGATCTGGGGTTCGACCTCCAGAAATGCTCTGACAATCATGTAGAGGTGGAGTATGCGTTTCGTGAAACTCGAACCTGCTGTCGGGTAACGGGCCTCCACCACACTGAATGCCAATTGCTTGGTTCTGATGTGTCTCAGTGGACCTGGACATTTGCTGTGCATTCCACGCCCCGTGCCTTTGACACTCGCAGTAGCTAGCGATTGGCAGATCAAGCAGTAGCACTCAGTAGCACTACGATGGGAATATCACACACTGGCTAGGCTGTCCATGACATCATATGACATCTCATGACTGGCACCCCGTCGGCCTTCAGGCCCGCTAAACTGCGCGGTGAAGGATATCAAGCCTTAGCTTTAAAGTGGCTGTGCTGGGCTGCTGCCAGTGCATATCCGTAGCCGGGTGTTGTCACCACTTTGCTGCCGTGGAGCCCTCGACCATCCCCACCTGCGAAACGTCTGTCAACTTTTCAGGTGGATGTGTACTAGCGTGAGTGCTCTCACTTGCCTGGGATCTCTTCTCCTCGATGGGTGCGCAAGAGGGTGAGTAGTAGATGATCTTCGCATCCTGAAGCCGTGATCAGTCGACTCGTGCAGCTGCGTTTGCAGATACCAGGCATTCGCCTACCTAGGCCAGGGGACCCAAAGGCTCCGCTCTCATTCCTGCACCCTCCCACTCCTGGCCCTCCCCCTCCCCCCAAAACCTCCTGCTCTTTCCATTGCCGCATGAACGAAGCCCTGTTGCGTCGACACCTCAGGCGGAGCATAGCTTGCAAGCCCCGGCAGTGCCTGCGTTTTTCCTTTGGGCCGCGCGCGACCTCGCCCAGAGGCTCACCCGAAAATCGCACGTGTTTCGGCTATTCCCAACGGTATGGCGGGTTTCGGGGCAGGCGTGAAAGACCCCAAAGGACCAGTAGGAGGGGGTTGCCGGAGAGGGCTGCAGCGAAAGAGGGCGGAGGCACGCGTGGGCCCGTGTGGCCCCCACAGCTGTTTCTAGATGGTATGCAGCATGCGGTTTGAGACTCAAGTAATATGTATATGTATAGCTGTATGTATGCACATATATATATATACACACACATACATCCACATACGTATGTAATTGTATGGTTTATCAGGGCTGCTACCTACGCTGGCCGCCCGTGGGCGCAGCCCCTAGAATGTCACTTCTTCTTGCAAGTTGACTGGTGTCGGCATGGTGTGAACTGAACGTGTCAGAGTCATCTCCCGGGAGGGCCTCCGGGGCGAAGGCTCGAGCCATCGCACAGCCGGACTTGTGCAGTTTGGAAGGTGCCCAGGATTAGGTCTTGTCGGAGCGCTTTTATTTACAGGCGCCGTCGCCCCACGTGCCGAAGAACGACACGTCAAATCTGCATGTCTGGTTGTCTGGTCTCGGTAGGCCACTCGCCCTGGCGAGGCTTGTACTCGCGGTGTCGCCCTCGACCATCTGGTGCAACAGTTGCTGCTCTTCTGCATCGTATGCGCTGGCAGCCAGGTTTCAAGATCAAAGGCATCTGTCCTGAATCGCCTCCTCCGTGGGTTTCGGCTCCTTTGGCACCTGCCGCGGGACATCTGCGAACTGGACACCTGTCCATGCTGCTCGTGGTATGATGCGGGAGTTGCCATGTTGGTCATGTTGGCCCAGAGCACCAGAGAAGGGTTGAAGATGAAGAACGCAGCCCGGGACCTTGCCACAACCAACTCTTCAACCAACCATTAATGCTCGAGAACTACTCCTACTACTCTCCACTTATCTCCACTTTGGCAGGACATTGAACAACGGATGTGTGGGTCTGTTGGACTGCTTAAGGCCTCCTAGGCTCTGTTTCTCAGGAGCTACCATAGCAAGCTGGTAGCATCTAGCGTAGTATGTGAGGAGGTCCAAGTGGCGGCCGCGAGACTGCAGACATCACAGGCGGAGGCGCCTCCAAAGATGTGGGTCTGAGAAGCAAGGTTGCTACCGGCCACAGCCCAGAATGTCCGGAGCCGAACTGGGTAAGCAGAGGCTGAGCATCCAAGACCCCAACTGGGAAAGCTAGAACTGCAGGTCCCTATCCAATCCGCGGGGCATTTCAACTTTCAGCACATCCATAAGGAAACGAATCTTTTAGGGGGTGGCTGCGCCGCTGCAGCTCCGACATCTTGGAAGGATCGGCTGCTTTCAAGCTGCACATCTACTGTTGATACGAAACCCCCTTAAACATCTCCTCACATCGCTCGCCACAGCCGTCGGTTTGCATTGACTGCACGAACTCAATCACCATGGCACGCTATGACAGCGCTGTTGTTTGATCACACGCAAACGCGATGCCTCCGCTCACTGGCCATCAGCTTCAAGTTGAAGCACAAGGCACGAGGGATTTCTGCAGTGACAGTCGGGTCCTTCCACAGCAAGTGAATCAGCTGGATGCTTGGTTTCGAACTTTGTCCATCATGTGCAAAACGCTTCGAGCAAGCAAGTAAGCTGCGGGAGCCGTGATAAATAGTCGAATCTCCAAACTGCTAACATGGATGCGCCCGAGGAATCCCGAGGATCCAGCTTTACACAGTATAGGGTAGCCGTATGCCGGCGGCTCTCGTGCCAGATTTCTAGCAGCGAGTCTGACACAAAGGCCCGAACAGTCTGCTAATGTTTGCTGCCAGCCATGCCTAGCCTGATATGCGCTCGTGTGCTCTGCACAGTTTTCAAGCTCTGCTGCGATGCCAATGCTCCTTTGGCCCACTTGGCGTCGTGCATGAAGCCCAAATCGCACACTTTATGCGATGCTGTGACTGGCAGTGGCACATCCCAAAGCGTCACGGCGAAGACCTTAGATCAGGGACCAAGCATGCTTCACCTTGGACAAATAGCGCAAGCTTGCTCTCGAATGCCTTGCTGAGCAGTCCGCGGGCGGCACATGCAGCCTCCACTTGTAGACAAAAGCCGCCAGTGTCTTGAGCGTCTTGAAAAACGAACCAAATAATGCACAACCAAGGAGAAAAGGGAAGGGACAGAAGGGACAGACAGGGAGGGAGGGATACAGGATGAGACGAGGGCAGAAAGGTAGTGGGCAAGCGGATTTGCAAGCCGAAGGGTGTCATTCACACATGAGAACGAGATGGCAGGGCAGCACGACCTTCTGCGCAGGGAACATCACTGCATCCTGTCCCTGGCATGTGATTGGCAGCAAAGAGACAGCAACTGTGGAGTGCTTGCCCTGGTTTCACAGCTCCTGTACCTGTGTGAATATGCTCTGCAGTCCACAATTTGGCAGCCCCGCTTCCAGTTGACCACCAGCTTCGTTATGTAGGCCGGCCTGAGACAGCTGACACTGTGTTGGGGCTGCCCCATCCGCACTCAATTTTGTTCCCACGGTTCGCCACGACTTTCCTCAGGACTGTGCCAGTTTCCGATGGCACTCCTGTCTCCCTGTGCGGAAGATGCTGCTAACCGCGATCGAGCTGGGATTGCGTGAATTCAGACGTGGCCTTCTTGCTCAGCCATTCGTGCAAGTTCTCAAAACACTCGTCCAAGGCTTCGGTGCCTTGTTTGTCCTGCTTGCAAGTTGCAGCAACACAACCAAATCTCTCAAGTCATGCAGATTCGCACCTGCATTTACATACACAAACACGGACATTTTGCCATTGTAGTGTTTTTCATCACTTCACACATCCTACCTGTTCACCCTATTCGTCAAACTATGTATTGACAGTGTATCGGCTTGTTGCTGAAACATGTCCAGCCAGCCCGAATCGCATGGACGCGGAGACTTTCGCTCTCACGCTCTGTTCATTCATTTTTTGTTGTTTCTTTCCTGTCTTTCTTTCATTCTCTTTCTGAAGTTGGGCGTAAGGGTCGCCCAGGCGACCCTCATGAAACTTGCTCATTCCTTCTGCGTGCCTGAGGAAGGGGTTTCCCCCTTTCCCTTTTCGTCAGCGCACTCCTTTTTTGGAGTGGATCCAACGGAAGCAGGGAGGTTAGGCATACGGCCCCAGCTGTAAGAGGAGAGTAAGTTTGAAGCAACACGGCATAGAGGATTACATCATACCAAGAAGGCCCCCAACATATCCGCCGACCGCGGGGCGGTGCTCAGAAGTTTTGTGGTCTGCTCGGTTTTCAGCGTTGCTCACTTTACGCGTGGTCTGCTGCACGAGTTTGAAGCGAGTATTGTCGCGGCGCGTGTACCGGCTTGCTTTTCGGCTTCGGTCTTTACGCGGGACTTCGCTGCATTCCAATACATGCTCACGCCTGCCTAACCCCGCCAACCCCGCAGTGGGTGTTTGGGTGCAGATGTTCCGAAAATAGGGATCGAAAACATCCGATGCTCAAGTCTCACATTCCCAAAGTGCCGAGTTGCAAGTGGGTACTCCTGAACTACCAACTATCGGCTCAGCTTCAGTGCTCACTACACCGCCCCAGCCCCCCCACCCTCGCCCTCCTTGGCTGCCCCGCGGCCCTCCTTGGCTTGTTTTCATGGCATTTTCGTTCTAGTTACTAGTTGAATCCTTCATTTTAATCCCACTCCAATGCATGCCCAAACCCACCAAAAGATACAGTAGACACACCGCTCGCCACCCTGCCCCCTCCCCGGCCCTCCTTGGCTTGTCTTCATGGTATTTTAGTTGTAGTTGAGACCTCTAATTTGATTCCACAGCAACACATGCCCTACCCTACCAAAAGACACAGTAGACACACCGCCCACCAGCCTGCCCCCTTCCCGGCCCTCCTTGGCTTGTTCTCATGGTATTTGGGTGGGAGTCCTCTGATTTGATTCCACTCCAACGCATGCCCTGCACCACCAAAAGGCGCGGTAGACACACCGCCCGCCAACCTGCCCCGTCCCGGCCCTCCTTGGCTTGTCTTCATGCTATTTTGTGGTAGTTGAGTCCTCTAATTTAATTCCACTCCAGCGCATGCCCAACCCCACCAAAAGACACAGTAGACACACCGCTCCCCACCCTGCCCCCTTCCCGGCCCTCCTTGGCTTGTCTTCATGTTATTTTAGTGGTAGTTGAGTCCTCTGATTCAATTCCACTCCAGCGCATGCCCTACCCCACCAAAAGACACAGTAGACACACCGCCTGCCGGCCTGCCTGCCCCGCCCGGCCATCCTTGGCTTGTTTTCATGGTATTTTGGTGCTAGTTGAGTCCTTTCATTTAATGCCACTCCAACGCATGCCCAACCCCACCAAAAGACACAGTAGATCTACCGCCCGGCAGCTTGCCCCCGCCCCGGCCTTCCTTGGCTTGTTTTCATGGTATTTTGGTGCTAATGAATCCCTTATTTTAATTCCACTCCAAATACACAGTAGACGCACCGCTCGCCAGCCTGCCCCCACCCTGGCCTTCCTTGGCTTGTCTTCATGGTATTTAATTCCACTCCAGCGCATGCCCAACCCCACCACAAGACACAGTAGACAACACCGCAAAATCGGCACACCATGCGCAACTCTCCACAAAAACTAAAGCCATAGAGCAACTAAGCGGAGTGAAAAGCACTGGGAATACCCAAGTACAAGGGGATGGTCCGATGCACAACATCGGCACGAACTGCGAAACTCTCCACGAAAACTACAGTCGTAGAGCAACGAAGCGGAGTGAAACTCACTTGGAATCCCCAAGTACACGCCAGGACTCAAAAGCACGGCCCGATGCACAACGTCAGCACGAAATGTGAAACTCTGCACAAAAAACTGAAGCCACAAAGCAACGAAGCAAAATCAACAGTACTGGGAATTCCCAAAGTACACGCCAGGATTCAAAAGCACGGCCCGATGCACACAATCAACACGAAATGTGAAACTCTACACAAAACTGAAGCCCTACAGCAACGAAGCTCAGCAACCTGCAACCCACATAAACAGCTATTCCCCATGTAGACGCTCGATTTGAGAAGCACCTGCTCACGACACACAAGTCGGCTTACTACCCCCAAAGCCTGTGACAGCTGCAAAACACGAAAGTTTACTACGTACACCCAAGGCTTCAAACCTGTAAAACACGAAAGCTTACTCCGCCGGGACTGCAGCCTGGCCGGGGAATGTTTTAATTAGGTAGCTGGAGGGCCAGAACTCGGGTTTTATAAGGGGTCTAAACTTGGCCCTGCGCGACGCGCACGCGAGGTTGCGCGCGAGGCAGTGGTCAGAAGCCACATCTAAGAGCCTTAGCCTAGCTGGCAAATCACGTCACCCGGTGAATACTCAATCGAGTCTAGTTGGGTTTTGCGCGTCGGTAGACAACTGGCTCCCGAGCATTGCCTCGGAATCCCCATGTGCTTGCCGGTTCCAGGCCGGTTCGAGACGAATTGCCTTATGAGCATTTGCACGGTATCCCCATGACACGCCCGCACGAGGACCCTGCAACGGCCGGGCCCGGACTACTTAACCCCAATGTCAACGCAGAAAGATGTATGTTTCCTCAACAAGATTGATCCGAGCTAGACCCTCCCCTGGTAGTAGCCGTAGTGGCCGCAGTATCGTTCCCCCATGTCCACGCTCGCACGCAACGACTTAGGTCAGCCAGCCCCTTGTACTCATGTAGACGCTCGATTTTGCAGGCACCAGTTCGAGAAACATGGTGGCATCGTAGCAATCAGCAAATCAACGCCAGCCAGTCCCCTTGTAGATGCTGGATTACGCAAGCACCAACTCGAGACACAAGTGGCATCGCAAAACATATCCAAGCTCAAGGAAAGACCGCGCACAGTACTGCATCGCGCAGAAACTTGAGATGGGATGGGAAACAACATATGATAGAGGTATTGAAAAATGGCCAAACCCTGCGACACATGGGGTTGGGACGACTTCGCCCCGGCAGGGACGACGTAAGCCTACCTCTATTATGTCAGCCCAACAACAGCGCCGAGACAATGTTTTGTTTCATGGTTTTTGCATATGGCCCAGCTGGGTCGAGGTATGTGCTTCATTGAGAATCCCCCACGTTCACACTGCGGTGGGTTGACCGTTTTGCAAATCTCCAGACATGTGGAATCGATATATACTTTCAACAGGAATCCCTGTGTTCACACCGCCACGGGCTGACCACTAAGCATATCTCCAGGCTGGGGTGCATATCTGTTTTCAGTGGGAACACCCAAGGTCACACCACTGCGGGTCGACTTTACACAAGGCGGGCCGACTTAACGCACCTACCCAGTAGTTGAGTCCATTGATTCCATTCCAATGCACGCCCAACCCCACCAGACGCACAGCCCGCCAGCCTGCCCTGGCCCCGGCCTCCCTTGGCTTTTCATGATATTTTGGTGGTAGTTGAGTCCTTTCATTCCACTCCAATGCATGCCCAACCCCACCAAACGACACAGTACACACACGGCCGCCAGCCTGCCCTTCTCCCGATCCTTGGCTTGTTTTCATGGTGTTTTGGTGGTAGTCGAATCCTTTAATTTAATTCCATCCCAACGAATGCCCTACCCCATTTAATTCCACTCCAACGCTGAACTTGTCAAGTTTGCAGATTCAGATAAGCTCGCCCGTTGCCTTGCTTGGATTTTTTTCTTGTCCTGTCGCTACAGGTCAAGCTGCAAAAGGCAGTTTCCGGGGTCTCCACAGCTAGAGGAGCCTTTTACGAGACCAGCGCGAATTACGAATGTACCGAGGAGTCGCAAGTCAGACAATGTGCTACCTGCACTGCCTCTTCGGAGCACTTGCACGCAAGGCGTTGTGCTTCCCCGGAACACCCCCACTGCCCTACTCATTCCGTTCTTTCTAGATGTGGAGGCAGGCGCTTTTTGGTGTTCCAGTGCGTGGTAGCTTTGCGCGACTCGCGCTGACCACCTCTGTCCTGCACATCGAGAAGAAGAGCCTTGACACGCCCGTCGAAATCCTGGAGAGGGGCGGAACTCTTGATTGAAGAATGTAGACAGCAGAACAAGCCACAGCCAAAGATCAGTGATAGGCTCTGAGCTTTTGACGGCCGCAGTGGCAGCTGAAGAACCACACAGCGAGGTTATATGCTCCTTGTGGGTTGGTCAGGTGCTTCAGGGTCTCTCTGCGCAAGTTATCGAAATTGACGTGTAGATTGCTGCAGGCTTCGAACCCTGTCTTTCATTCATACTCGTATACAATGGTTTTAAATTCACCGACCGGCTTTGCGCGCACTCGGAATGCAAGCTCATGGCTTTGACACGCTGAGCTCGGCACAGTCAGCACGGAAGGGTTGGAGCCTGTGCATGAAAAAAAAATTGCATGCAGTTGGAGCCAGGCCTTTTTGCCGGGCTGCCAAGTCCGAAAGGCAGCCTTCCGACAGTCGTGCAGTGGGCCTTTGTGCTTTGCTCCTGAAGTGGATCGCTTGCCACCCTTTCCACTTTTGCCTCCTGGCCAGTCGGGCAGGGCACAGCCGAGCTTTCGGGTCTGTTCCGAGTCACGGCTGCTCGCACCTTTCGAGCTCTTCACCACGGGTAGACTGCGCACCCCATCGCCTGAGACATCTGGGGCAAGATGCCGCAAGCATGGTGTGGACCTGAAAGGCACCGGCCACTTAGGGTCACAGCAACTTGTCCAGATGCATCCTTGGAGAGTTGCAGTGGCCAGTCGCTTTCGCTGCTTCCTACAAATATTTCGCACCGACAGGCATCCCCCAGTATTTTGCAAGTGTTGGTCCGCTTGGTGTTGCAACCCCCCCCCCTCTGCGTAGGCTTCCACTTTGCCATCCTTTCCGCCGGACAATCAAGCGTCGGGCTATGAAAGAGGGGTCCTTTAGAGAACTCAACTAACTCGGCTGTTCGCCTGATCCCGTCTCACATACTCTCTGCTGGGTTGCTGGCGGTTCCCAGGTGGAAGATGCTGGGAAAAGCCTGAGTGTTTGCGGTGTTCTGGGTAGCGCCAAACTCAGCTTCGCAGAGCAAGCCGAGTCCGAGCCAAGATGCGATGTCGCGACACTTTGCATGTGCGGAGCTGGCTGAGCTGTGAGCCGCGACGAATTGCCGGATTTTTCGTAGATCAGCTTGCTGCTTCTTCAGAAGCTTCTTCAAGGACTCCTGATTGCCGTCTGCACAGTGCACACAGCTGTTGACTGCAATTGTTCTCCAGAGTGCTTCCTCAAACTCGAACAGATGATCTACAGGCTGCAGCTTCGGCCTGGGACCCAAGTTCTCCAAGACCCACAGCAGCGCCGCGACACGTCAAGACCCTGCAAAGAAAAAAACTGCCGACTCGAGGATGCCGTCTCTTGAGCTGCCATAGCGTCTCTTGCAAAAGGAGGAATGTCTTGACTGTGCAAGAGAAGCAGCTTAGCCCTCAAACCTCCCCACGTGCCTAACAAGCGCGTCGACCAAAGGTCGCTCTTGCCCCCCTGCTCCTGCGTTGCGCCGAATGCTGTTTGCCAAGACGCCGAAAGAAAGGTCCCCAGCAGCACCAGAAAGGCGCTTCTCGAGAAGGTCGCGAGACACCGAACATCACGGAATGGCGCAGAAGACACGCGCAGTTGCGACTGCTTACACCATGGCACCAGATCATATGCTCATAAGATACCCCCAAGCACAGGAGCACAATCGAGTGAAGAGTTCACTGTCACCGCCAACAGCGTAAACTATCGTAAAACCTCTGCCAGTGCGTCCCTTCCTGCCACGAAGGCTATCAGCTAGCAGAGATTCGTGGTCTGATGGCGCGAGACAGGTGCCTTTCTGGGCCTTGGTCTTCGCATGGGAAGTGGCCACCTCGGTACTCGCCGTACCTGCTAGACCTGCGGGACGTTTGCCACAGCCTGACATCTTTCGGCCCAGTGCTAACCTTCAGGCTCAGTGCAATGCGAACGAAGCAATCCTTCTTCGTAGGGCGGATCACAAACAGGTCCGGCCTCAATGTCTACAGTTCCAGCGACCCGGGGAAGTGGGTCCCGGTTTCGCACCGCCCTGAAGCGTAAATTCTGAAGCTTAAAGTCGGCGCCGAAATTCGGTCGGTGCTGGCTGAACCTGAAATTCGGCTGACGCTCAAATTCGGCGCCAATCGGCGCTCAAATTCCGTCTGGCCCCAGCCTGAAGCCGAAAATGTGCCTGACGCCGAAATTCGGCGCTCGAATTCGCTGAAGCTTAAATTCGGTCTGCCCCCAACCTGAAGCCGAGAATGTGCGTGACGCCGAGATTCGGAGTTCGAATTTGCTGAAGCTTAGATTCGGTCGGCCCCCAGCCTGACGCCGAAATTCGGGGCTTTGGACTGATGGGGTGCCCCTGATGCTAAAATCAGAGCTCCTATATCACCCTGAACCCAGCAGATGGAGCCTGGGACTGATGGGTCGCCCTTGATTCTACGATCAGAACTCCGATCACCTTGAAGTCAAATTTAAAGATGGAGCCGTGGACTGATGGGTGCCGCTCACTTTGAATTCAGAACTCCTATATCACCCTGAACTCAGAGGATGCAACCTGA